AAAAAAAAAAAAAAAAAAAAAACTTGCATCTCTCTCTCTCTCTCTCTATCCCTCTTTTTCTCTCTCTCTCTCTATCCCTCTTTTTCTCTCTCTCTCTCTCTAGCTTTTTTTTTGTTTTTGTTTTTGCCCTCATTTTCGAACCGCTTGAAAAGAATGGAAATTATGATTAGTTTTTTTTTTTTTTTTTTTTTTTTCTTTTTTCTATTTGTTATATTAAACAAACCTTGTTTTATTAATAACACGAACGAACGTTATTATTAATTCGATAAGTAAGAAATATGAGATTATTTTGTGATTGAAAAGAATGAAAATTTGCTTGAATGCCCTTTTTTTTTTTTTTTTTTTTTTTTTTTTTTGCTACGGGGCAGCCATTTTTAAGAAATTTTTTGTGTGAGAGATTTTTCTTTTTCCTTATTTTTTACGTAACCCGAATTTGCGTTTTTATTTCCCCCTCCCCCCTTCCTCTCTCTCTCTCTCTCTCTCTCTCTCTTTTTTTTTTTGTTAACTTATTTTGTCGTATTATTACTACGTTTTCCCTAACCAAATGATTATTTATTTTAAATGACAGCCCAAAAAAAAAAAAAAAAACTCTTGCCTAATTGTAATTTTTTTCTTTTTTTTTTGTCGAAAGAAGTAATTAGGAAAGATTAAAAAAGAAAAAAAGAAAAAAGAAAAATCTTCAATCAAAATGAAATAAATGATGCCTAACGCATCTTATTTTATTTTCTTTCTTTTTAGGACACGCCATTAATTTTAATTTTAACCGCGCGAAATTGCACAAATCGTCGTTTAGTGCCACGACTTTTCCCCTCGCCCGTCTTTTTCTTCTTCGTCTTCGTTCGCCATTTTTTTTTTTTTTCTTTTCAAAGAGAGAAATTTCGACGCGTAACAAAAACCGCATATTCGGATGCCATTTTTTAAAATTAAGCGTTGAAAATTTATCACCTACACGAAAACTAAAAAAAAAAAAAAAAAAAAAAAACAATTTTCTCTTCTAATAATTATTACTACGGGTGTAAGAAGCAAAATATTTATCTTAAAGATTTGATTGTTTTGATTCGTAATCGTGTCTCCATGTTTAATAATTTTGTTTGCAACGTTGCCAGTTTTTAACTTCCGCTTTCCTCGATATACGCGATCGTTTTATTTTTTATTTTTTTTTGACCCTTTAATTTTTAACCGCGACATTAATTGATTTTTTCTCTTTCTCTCTCTCTCTCTCTTTCTATTTTCAAAAATTTTTCAAGATGGTGGCAATCGGTGAATGAATGTATGCTAAGGTAAACAAACGTTACAATACAACGAACGGATTTTTTTAAATTTTTAAAATGTCTTTTTGTGAATCGAAAGTGAAACAAACAACAATGTTCGAATGTGTTCGTTACAATTAACAAGGTTTGATTGAAGAAGGAAGGGGAAAAAGGAAAAAGGGGAAAAAAATAAAATGCATCATCTTGAATCTGGTTGTGGTGTATGCGTGACATGAAAAAAAAAAAAAAAACACAATGTAAATTTAATTGTGGGAGATGACAGTGAAGTTGGCACAAGAGTAAACAATAAACAACAACAACAACAAACATAATCTTTGTGACTGCGAGTTTTTTTTTTTTTTTTTTTTTTTTAGCAAATGGTTGTTAACTGCTCGTGTAATAAACCGCGATTTCAAAGGAAAAGTAAATATTGTGAGAGAGAGAGAGAGAGAGAGAGAGAGAGAGAAATAGGAAGAAGAAGAAGAATGAATTTCCCCAAGGGCAATAATGAAATTTTACTTTTTTATGTTTTTAATTGTGACGTCACGTTACGTCACATCTCGTGACGTATCGGTCGCGAACACTTTGATGAGAACGATAGCTATGCGTCCGTGTATATCCCCCCCCCCCGTGTGTGTATGCATGCACCCACATTTGCATTCCGCCATAATTTTTTTTTTTTTTTCGAATTCGATTCGACTAATGGGGGTTTGTGCTACATAATCCTATTTTCGATGACTCTGAAATAAAGAAAGATGCTTATTAACGGTTTTTGTTGTCGTTGTTGTTGTTGTCTTAAGGTTGTGTCATTTTTTTATTCGCGAGATGAATTGTTCTCTAAGTGTTTGTTTATTTTTTTTTTTTTTTTTTTTTTGGGGGATTTTGTCTTGATCAGAATTAGGTTCAGGGAAATTTAGTAAGGAATTTTCTGAATAAAAAAGTTGACCTGAGATTATATATATATATATATATATATATATATATATATATATATATATATTGATTTTACGAAAGCTCGTTAGTTGATTTATCGTTTTAATAATTTTAAATTTAAAAAACGATTTAATTGCAAGTTAAACGTGATAAATCTGGTTATCGTAATAGCCCACTTTATTACGGTTT